AAGCACATGCTTGCCAGCGACATGGGGACAGATTATGGGTAATTAGGAAGAGAAATGAATGAAAGATGTTCATTCTGAGAAGAGAAGGGCAATGCTGATAAAAGAGGAGTAATTTCCCCTCATACAGGGTCCACAGCTCCTAATGCACAACGAGGGGCTCAGCTTGGAAAGAGCACAGGCTTTCTTCTCTTTGTTGTAACTGCCAGTCATGTTAATGATCAGTTCGGTAGGAATAACGTGATCAATATCAGACGCGGTCCAGAGGCTGGTGATTACAGGGACGGCTGAGGATAACCACCACTGCTAGACAGGCTGTGGGCTTTGTAATCTTACATGTAGCGCATGTAGATGGGATGGGAGGTGGTGCGTGAACACATTGCATAAAGCACAGGGTGACAAGATATGAATGAAGCATTTGTTTTGTGGAGTCTTTACAGATGTGCATTTCATGTGAACATATAAACAGCGAGCCTTTGTTTGCTTGTTTGCCTCAGTGCTATTGTCTAAATTAGCAATATATACTAATCAATAAGACGCGACGATTGGCTGCCATTTCCCCTCTGGAAATCTAATTTTGGTGAGCTACTGCATACCTTACCTAACACCAGGATTTTCGCAGGTTGCAGTGAGAGACTAAAATAAAAAAATATATAATTCTAAATGATGATGTATGAAGAAAAACATCTGCTATTAAAGTCCAATAAAACTAGAGCCTCTTGAAACTTAACATTCATTTTCAAATGTCCATCCTGTTGCCGTGACATATGACTATAATGCAAAGCTCAGACTCCATTTGCAAATGTCAACCTTAAAACGTTCAAAACACCTTAATGCTTACTAACTAATTGATTTCACTGTTATCCTGGTGATTTTACACAGACAGGATCTTGTTTAGGAGAGCCATCTGGAACACCTTTGCCTTTGAGGAAACAAGGCAGCCTATTCAGAGTAACACCATCGCCAGGACACGATGGATTGTGCAGCACCAGAATCTAAAGCTAGTGGGGCTGTGATGCAGAGACGCTTAGAAAGAACATGGAGTCTGGCTGGTAAAATGGGGTACTACCATTATAGAAATGGCAGCAGTTAGATGTGAATGATGTATCTTTAGATTTTCAGATGCAATTTCACACCGTATAGCCACTTGTATAAGCCAGATATTAGATGGGCATTTATGGTGAAGTCCGAGAAGCAGGAACACCATGTGACTTCACTGCCGTGGCTTTAGGGGTGCTAATGGAGGACATATGGGAGCTGAATCGGCTCTAAAATACTGTCTGGTGGCACAAGAGGTCCTTGCTGAAGTTACATTTCTGAGTGGACAAAATCATGCTGTCTGAAATATCGAATCGAATGGTGGGGTGTCTGGGACACAAAGACAGACAAAGCAAATTTCAGTGGCATATGGTGAAGAGACTGCCTGTTCTCTACGGACGTCTCATTAGCATTACATTCTTTATAAGTGGTCCCTATGAGCGGCAGACCTCAGCCATCACAAGCTGAAATAAGATGTACGGTATAGCTGAAATACAAGTCAGCCATCATCCCTATTTGCTGCACTCCCACATGTTACTGATGAGTAATAAAGAAAGTGTGCACACACCTCCTTGTTTATTCTTTATTGGCTGCCACCATTTCTCCTCCAAAAAAAGAATTCAGGATCATTTGGCTAAAACAGCGCTGCAGTATTTCTGTTGCTCTCACTGTTATCAGTACTCCCCAATGTTCTGTGATGTGCTTATACCATCACAAATCCTTTAATATCCTTTAATGTATTATTATCTCCTATAACCCTAACTCTAAAAAGGTACTAATTTATCAACATCTACACAGCCCTCTCTGGTGATTAGTGGTAAAGTGGGACAATGGTTAAAGTGGGAGAACTAAGCGTAATCCTTTATCTTACATGTTCTAACTTAACTTAACTTAATATGCTCAAGTATGAAAATGAAACAATATAGCTCCTGTAGCTATGTATGTAGCTATACTTCCGGGTGGAATTACCCTTTATTTAAAAACCCTGCAGTGAAATGCCATGAAAGTAAAAAAGTGTTTTGAGGTGATTAACGTTAGGGTTATACAAATAAATCAAATGATTTATAAATATTGTGCATTTATTTGATCAGGCCTACACTTCAATAGTAATTGAACGTGTTTCAGTTTGCTAATAAAAGTGTCCCAGTTAGACAGTGGTTATGGTTTATGTGTCATCCATCTTGTGTTCAATGTGTCTTTCTTTTTTCTTCCGTACAGCATAGAGATATTACGTTTTTTAGAATACTAGCATATGAGGGGCTAAGTCATTTGGATCATAATTCCAAAATGACACAGCAGATGAATTGACAGAAAGTGCCCCGCTTAACTATTATTCAATTTGCATGTTATTATGTCTGAATTGTAATTGTACCATCATAAAAAGGTGCTTACATATCAGACAGCCTAAAAGCTGGAAAAGCAAACAGGACTGGCACAAAAAGACAAACAGATGCTGAGATGTATCCTGCTGTCCAGGATCAAAGAGTTTCCTTTCAGGTTAAATTGTCCAACTTCTATTCACTGTTATTAGGCTATAAGGCATTATGAAGCTAAGTGAGAGACTGATAGGGTATGTTTTCCAAGATGACTCTTGGATCTTGCTTATGGGATACTGTGCTCAGTTCGGATTTTGATTTATTTAGGTTAATACATGTAAAGATAAAGGACTAACTTGCAGGATGTTTGACTTTATATTCAAGATGTCATAGTATGCCATTGCATATCTTTCATATGTTCTCCCTTTTTCTACTTCTGTTTTCTGTCAACAAAGGCCTCCTCTCATTGTGTTGCTCAAAATGGAAATCTATCTTTAGATCTTCTTAAAAAAGAATTAGGGAATCCCTCTTAGAGAACTAACACCATACACACTGATAAAGAGAGCCTATTACACAAGGCATCAGCTTTCCACAGATTGAAAGTGTTCATAGTTGTGAACAGAGAGGTGATTGGGTTCAAATCTCAAAGCTGACCTGAGGAGGCCACTCACTCAGTCAGACCCTGCTGGGATCTACAGCCATAAACACAGCCAAAGTGTTAACTGCACAGGTGCTACATGGATCTGCTGCATGGAGTTTCTCTGCATGCTCATATTGACGGCAGCTACTTGCACCAGTGCATGCAAAGGCTTCTACAACAACACCATCTGAGTTGGTGTGGAGGGGACACGGTGCTGCTTCTTGCTCTGTGTGTCTCTTACCTCCAGTGTTGGTGCGCTTGGTGCAGCCGGCCTCCTCCAGCGGAGTCTCCAGCGGTCGCTTGCGGGAGTCCGGGTTATCAGCCTCGGTCTGCTGCAGGCTGTGGAGGTTTGGGTTGGAGTAAATCCCGTTATGGTCCACAGCTGCTCCGACGCCACCAGCCATCATCATCATGTTCTCCCCCCGGAGCTGTAGATATATGTGCACACACACGGAGCCTCACCACCACATAGGCTCACAGCGCGCACCGCGGTGTGAACAACAAGTTTTTTTCTGGGCTCGAAAATGAAAAAATTGATGAAAATGACAGACAGCAACACCGGGGTCTGGTCTCCTCTTTTCGCTGCAGCGCGTCCCGCACAAAGCTAAATATAAAAATCCCAATGAGTGAAATGTTTAACGCGCACACCGCCGCTCCATGCTGCTCATTGTTGACGCGCAAAACAAGCCCGCGCTTCAAATAAAGCAGTTTCAGAGGCGATCAGCCGTTAAAACAAGTGCAACAGCTTCACACAGGCTAGGTCTGGAACAGAGCTTTTCTAAGTCATCTGCACGTCATGTTTCAGTGAAGTCCTGTGATAAGTGCAGCTGTTGTTATTGTTGCCTTTGTAGTGCAAGAGGGGAGAAACGGGGAGAGAGCTGCGGAGGAACAGTGCCACTGGCCGGCAGAAACACAGGCCGTGAGATCTGATCTGAAGCTACTGCTCTTCCATTTATCTCTATACAATTATTATTTATATAGTTTACCAACATCTTTTTTATATTCTTTTTTTTTATTGATTTTACTTTTTTTTCTGACCCTCAAAATAGAACTGATCAGCTCAGTGAGAACAGCAGAGGGACCTTAGTGATTATGTTTTACTGAGCACTGATAAAATGTAATCTGACCTTATGTTCAGTATTAGAATAGATTCAACTTTATTCTCATTTCATCATTGCATTACAAGTACTGGGACAACTAAATCTAGTTAGCACCCAGTAGTGGAATGTAACTAAGTACATTTACTCAATTAACGTACTTAATTTTGAGGCACCTTTACTTTGGTATTTCAAATTGTATTATACTTCATACTTCCGTTTCATTTTGGAAGCCACTTTGTACTTTTTACATTTATCTGAGAGCTTTGAAGACTTTACTGACTAATGTTATTAAATCAACAATAAAAAACAGTAATTAAAATGAGCTTCACTTTTAACACGTGATGAACAAATGAATGCAACAATATTCATAATACAGTAATAACATTTATATGATTCTGAAATGGGCCATAACGCAAAATTAGTACTTTTTATTTTGATACTTATGAATTCTGATGACAATACCTTTTACTTAGGTAACATTTTGAAAGCTGGATTTTTTGTATTGCTACTTTTACTTCAATAAAATATATTAGTACTTCTACCACTGTTAGCATCAGAAGATATATGTAATATATATGTATTAAATAAATATGACAAATATTAAAAGCTTAAGTATACAGTATGAACAGTATTAATATATATATATATATTGAATACACTATAGAGGTATTAGAAATATAGATAGTTAGACACTATAGGCGGTAGTATAAATATGATTACATTATACACCAGTATAGATGAAGATTCATACTTTGTATAAATAAATATGAGTACACGATAGAATATATAACCAATATGGACAGGTGTATACATCACCTGCGGGCCATGAGTTGGACACATGTGAATTACACAAAGGAAGAAACACAATAACAACACAGGCACTAAATACCAAAGAAACAACAAAAGCACTAAGTGTGTAGAACCAAATGTGATTTATTATCTGCAAATGACTGTACACCGTTTACCTCACCTCACACCTTAATGTGGGCTCTTCAATCAGTTTGTTTTACCGTCCCCTACAGCCAGCTTTCAACCACAAAACAGTGCCTTACTGTTCTGGGTGCTTAATGTGATGGCTGGTTCCTGTCCACACAACTAAAAGTAAGTGTTTAGGAATGCACAAAATCCTTCACGCTCCACCTGTAAATAACTCCATTCTGAGTCTTCAGGACTTACTCATGGACACAAAGGCACTGTCTCTCCTAGCTTGATGTCTGAGATGCACACTCCTCCTCTCTGGCTGGAGCCTCGTCCCCCTCAGTGTCCGGCTCTTTGGCTGACTGCAGATCAGAGCCCGCTGTGAGTGCTGACACCCTCAGGGCGAGCCGCTTAAGGACCAGATCAGCAGTGCTGGGGAGAGTGTGCTGAATAAAGGGAACACAACAACAACAGATGACATGTACAGTATGTCCGGCAGATTTGAGGAATTTATTTGTACAGGAGAAATATCAGCACTGAGACAATGTATTTTTGGGTCTGAGTTGAGCTGATGTGTGACGTGTGAGAATGACAATACTGAAAAGTTGCAAGAAGGGAGATATTTATTATTTAAAAGCAGATCGTAGGACAATTTTTTCTTGAGATGCATTTTTAACGCAAAGAAGGTTAACACATACGAGGAATTTGCCTTGGTGTTTATGGTGCATACATAAACACAGTCAAAGAATATAAATTGTAACAAAAGGACCAACAAAAAAAACAATTATAAATAAATAATTTAAGAAAACCAATATAACAATAAAATATAGCAATATTTACATGAAATATTGATGAAATATAGTTATACCTGTAACAATAAAATATAATAAAATAAAATATGTGCAGTATTGGTATGACAAGTGGAAAGCCGTGCAGATATTAGGGCTAGCTTTGTGTAGATATTGTTTAGAGTTTGTTGGTTGAATTGAGCTTGTGGTGTTTTATGCCATGGGAACAACTAGATGCTACTTCTGTGGGAAGGTAGTGAGTGCTAATGCTGAAGCAGTTGCTCTGGATGTCTGTGATATATTTAATCAGATAAAATGAGGAAATATCACATCAAGAACATATGATCTGGCAGTGAAGAGAGACTCTGACATTCTAATGGTGTGCAGTAGATGCTGCTTGAAGGAGACGTTTCCTGCAGATGTGTTTCATAACATCCAACACCTCAGAGGTGATAATTATGTTGCTCTGAGGGAGACTCGCAAAGTACGTGTAAAGAAACTGATATCATATTTAATCAGAGAGGACTTTATGCTAATCGTATTGCCTAAGAGTGAGGTTATCAAGTACCTCACACCTCTAAAGCTGCTGTGAACACAGTGTCAGAGGCGCTGCTTGATAGCTTCACTCGAGGTGCAGAAATTGATCTCACCAGTAACTCCGTTTATCGGTGTGATTGCAACAAATTGAGGTGTGATGGGCTTGTTTAAAAGGAATGATGGAGCATTCAATCTGTGAGCCACATCCAGGTGGAGGGCTGGGAAACAGCATGGATGGATCTGTTGCTTTGAAAGAAGACCATTATGATTCCTGTCTGTTACAGACTCCCTAAGGAAGATTGATATGACCTTTTTTAATGTTGACAGTAACAAATGCACGGAGATTGAATGCATTATATTTTTGGATTTTAATAAAATTTGCCTCCCAAGACTTGTTTAATTGATTGATTGACCAGTTCAAGTTTTGGCTAATAACTGAACCTACTAGAGTGGCTATGAAACATACTATTATGTTGTCAAAATGCATAGGTTTTCGTCATATTGCTGTAAAATAGTTCACTTTTTACCTTACAGAAAGAAGTTGAGTCTCTGATAGAGGTGGTTCAATCATCCAGGATATTACATGTGGGATGCCACAAGGTTCTTTTATCGGGCCTCTTTTATTTATTATGTGTACATTATATGCCAGTTACGGCAAGATGCAAGCTTTTGATTTTGCGGAATCATTTTGCTTTACGTATCATATTTTACTTGTAAAAATAAAAAATTACACATTTTAAGGTAGTGGGTCATTGATCCAAGCTTTTAATACATTTGAGTCAAACAGAAAAACCTGTTTGGATATAAGAATAAGCTGGCAAGGATAAATACGGTGAATGTTTCTTGTGGTGGACCTAAAATTGTGTCTCAAATGTTATAATATGGGAACACAGAATGTTATTAAGATGTGCCAGTAAACTCTTGATTATGCACATTCTGCTCAGTTGTTTGAAAGCTAACCTTAGGAACAAACTGAAGTGGATGCAACATAATTCAGTATTTATTAAATGCATCGGACTGCTGCCAGTACAGCTCAAAGCCGATGAAACAGAAGCTGCATCATATCCAAACTATTATTGATGGGTACAAGCATCAATATTTTCACATAACAATGGTCCATACTTAGTATATCACTTTGAAAATAGGGACAGTGTGCATTCATGTGAAGTTCCTGTTCATAAACTGATGCCATGTCATGGAACATATGTCTGTTATACCTCAAGTATATGCATCAAAAACTGGATAATAAAGTCAGGCTTTACAATTTAACAGGGTAAACAATTTATAGTGACATTTGGAAAGATATTGTTATTTTAATTATTTTTGTTCTTTTGTTGAAGGATTTTGTTGTGTGTTTCTCAAAATTGTTTATAATTTTTATGTTGCATATCTTCCAATTTGTTGCGTTTTCTTTGTCCTGTTGGAAACAAGTGTTTTCACTTTCAAATCCATTGGATACTTTTGTGTCTTTTGTCCGATAATCCAATCAAAGGGCCTGTAAAATCAGTTCTTGAAATTCTGTTGAGATTTATTCTGCTGGCCAGTAGAGGTCAGCAAAAGTTCAAGCCTTTTCTACATAAGGAATAATATATTTCCTAATAAAAGCATGCTTTTGTATTAAAAAGGTTATCAGATGATCCATTTATTATGCCAATATGCTTTGAAAAAGTATGATCCACAACCAAGAGGCAATTTCCTTGGCAGGAAGCTTCTATGGCGCTTCGATTCGTATTTTAGATTCCTTTAACACAGCTTTCTGTGACGTACCTGTAAAATATGCAGTCCCTTAAGTGTGAGGACAGCCAGCTCTCTCAAACCGTCGCCAGTCAGGTCTAAGTAGATGATGGACAGCAGAGGACTCTTGAAGCTCCGCCTCCACTGCAGCTGAAACTCTTCCTCTCTTCCCGTCCCTGCCGGCTGGAATTTGTAACAAAGCATTTCCTGCATGGAAGAAAGGGAGATAACATCCTCATCATCGAGATCTCACCGGTCAATCATTCTCATTCGATTTTAGATGAGATTAGTTGTGGTTATCCACAGATAATGCCCTTCATCTACATCTGCACTTCACTTCTTCTATAGAGTCTATTTTAAGGGACCCTGAGTATAGTCTACCATATCATGTGCCATTCTATCGAACTGCTCTAGACCTACTGTTTATGTTATTCTACTTCTAGAACAAGTCTGTTGTTATTCTATATCTGTAAAATCACATAAAAAGACTTACAAGTACTGTCTGTACTGCAAAACCTACATTAGAGTCAAGTGTTTGTTTTTAAAATCTTTTTCATTAGATTTTGTGAAAAAATTCAAACCCATATCACCAGCTTTATCCTTTGAAGTATTATTAATAAAGTGAATTAGTGACTTAGAGGAGCTCTGACCTGCCCATATGTTCCCAACAGCACCTCCTTCTGACCGTCAAAGTCCAGGTCGATGACCAGAGCACACAGCACTGCGTCCCACTGATCGCTCTCTGAGAGACACACGGAGCGGGACAGGCCTCGCTCCTGCACATCTCTGAGGGGACACACACATATGGATAACACACTGCTCTGAACTCAGCATAGAGCCATGTTCTAAACAGCAGAAAACGTCTGATTTCTCCACTGATATATTTAAAAAGCTATCACTATTTGTACCTGTAGACAACTGCCATCTCTATAGTGCTGGTTACCAGAAGGTTGTAACTTTTTATTTCCACACCTGGAAAAGACAAAAACGTGGATTTGACCAGACTTATCCACAGTGACTACCAGAGATAGTTCACACTACTTATCCAAAAAGAGCAAACGGATGAAGAGACAGACAGAGGAAGTGAAACAGCGCCCTGACTTACCTTCCTCTCCACTGGGGCAGCTCAGAGGGAACAGCAGCACAGAAGAGATGGGACTGTCAAACTGGAACCGCCAGCTCTGCAGAACCTCTGACAAAAAGATATACAAGGAACATAGGAATATCCTGCAGTAGTATCATGATCACCACATACACACCATCTTGAAGTCACTAACTAGTCACTAGTTACAAAAAATCCTAATTTGGGATCAATAAGGTATATCTTATCTTATCTTTATTTAATACATAACCAATTTGTTAATTGTACAAATACTGTACCATCAGAGGGGAATTTAGGACCTGGTTCATACAAACAAATGTATCTTTGCTACTAACAATTACACACTATTTGTCAAGTCTCTGTAACCCACAGTAAACCCACAAAGGGGATTTAACTTTGCTGAAACGACTCTGTATTTACTGTGCACTATTCTATTACCGTGCACTATTCTATTTACTGTGCATGGTTCAAATGACTGTGCACTATTCTTTATATTCACTGTGCAGTATTTATTTTGTTTGACAATGGCTGAATGAGTGTGAAATATATTCTTACTTGCCGCTAATTTGTATAACATTTGTATGATATTGTATATTTTAAACATGTTGAACTCGTGTAGTAATGCTTGACACTGCTGCTGTAACAAAATCATTTCCCAATTTGGGATAAATAGAGTTTCTATCTTTCTATCCATCTATCCTATTTGTAGTGCTCTCAACCATTCAGCTAATAGAATGGAACCCGTAGCACCCTTAACATGTACACTAGTTTCTGCTAGATTTCACTGTGTTCCTCTATCCCACTTTGGAGGACACGCTATGAGAAGGAGTCATGTGACTGCGTTGAACCAATCAGAATGGTTGTTGAGAGTTTGGTGGGACTCACCTGGTTCAGTCTGGCTGACCTGAGCCAGTCCCACACAGCCATTCTGACAGCCGAACACAGAGAGTCTCCGGCCACCAGCGACACTCAGCATATCCAACCACAGCACACTGCATGGAGAGGGGGGGGCACACAATAAACACAGAGGGTTATGGATTTTACATACATTTAAGTCAGAAAATGTGCTGACATGTGGTCATTGCTCATTGATATGACAGCAGTGATACATCACTTTCAGCAAATATGCTACATCGATGCTACATTGATGCTACTGATATCTGGTTTTATTCTGTATGCAGTGTCTCATTGATTTATTGTGAAGAATAATGACGCGTTTCTCTTTTCTTTCTTGCATTTCATATTTCTGCTGTGTTATTTGAATTATTTTATAATGATATTAATAACTACATTGTTATTGTCTTCAGAAGTTCTTGCTATGTGTTTATGCTGTTACAGTATGTCTTTGTAACTGAGTTTTCTCGTGAAATGGCTTATATATCCACTGGCTGAGTTATGAACAGAATAGTCTCTTAGTGAAGATTTGAGAATAAAGAAAATTGGATAGAGAGAAACTTGATGGTCTTATTCACCCAACTCCTCCACACACAGTGAAACATCAGCAGCTTCAGAGCTGATGGAGCTAACGGCAGCTCAGACTCACTTGCTGGGCAGATCTTCTAGTTCAGGGAAGAGTCTCTCCACCGGCTGCTCTTCAAACTGGTGAAGGGAGGAGTTCTGTTGGAGTAATGCTGTCATGTTACATCATAAGTCAAAGTGAATGTCTCCTTCAGATATGCAAAACCATATTGTTATATGCATGTTGCTCAAAATAGCCTAACTGTAGCCTTCATCCCTTTTCATAAAGTCTTCTCTTTGACCGAACAACAAATCATGTTAAAACTCAAATGACCTTGACAAACAAACCTTGTCTGATTCACTTTATACACATTGTACAGTCTTTACGAGAACACAATACTACTGTTCTGGTCTTTTGGTTTATTCACTTATTTATGACAAAATGAAGAATTAATCATATTTTACAGATTTGATTGTTTGTTGATTGTTGTTTATAAATATTTAGACAAATAACTATAATCAAAACGACACAACACAAATATTTTATAATAAATAAATAATTCTGATTCTTTTAGTTAAATTTGTCAATTAAAAACATATTTTTTTAATATAAATACTGAGATAAAAAACATTGACTAATAATACCTAAACGTGAAAACCACTCACATAAACAAATAGGTATTATAATTCTACAGATATTTAGTTTTACAGATAAAGAGGGGGAAAGGATTAAATCTATATTTTTGTAAAGACGGTATCCCCCCCCCCCCCCCCCAGGCTCTGCTCTGACCTCCTTGTACAGGTGGATCCTCTGGTCATGGCCGCTCAGTAGGAACACCGTCTCTCTGCCTTCATCCTCACTCTGCACCCTGACACAGAAAAAATAATAATAATCTGTAATTCAATTGTAAATTGTATTTGTAATTAACACCACATGATATTATTTAGCTGCCTGTTTATAACCACTACGTTTTGGTGTATTAAATAAAGTATTCTGATGATTCTTATAGTGGGACATTAATAGAGCTGTAAAACTTTACCATAACTCCAGTTTAACAGCTTGCCATGCAATGTCTGTCCACTGGTTTGTAACAACGTCCCTCTGCCCTGCTTCACGTGTCTTTGTAATGTGACTGCAGTGTTTTGACCATTCTGGGATAAAGGAATAGGGAATCGATGTTCCTCACTGACAGATTAGGAGAGAGTCCCTTTCATTTGGTTTGATCTGTTGTTCTCAACAAAACCTGATCTTGCTAGTTCGGCCTACCATGACGACTCAAGTGTGTATTGTATTGTTTAATGGTCCACAGTTTATCACAGCTGTGCAGCAGCAGACTCACTCTGTGTGGTAGAGATGGAAGGGCGTGAACTGCAGCTCCAGATTCAGGCAGCTCTCTGTTTAGAAACACACACTACCATCAGCAGGAGAAGTGTGTGTCACAGTAACAGTGCACAGGACGCTCCTCACTTCACTCACGTGCGATAGACTCCAGGTTGAACTCCGAGCCGGGCTCATAGTCACAGTAGATGTTCAGGAACGGAGTGGCTTTGTCTCCAGAGTCCTGCAGGAGTACAGCTGTTATTAACACAAATAGTAGAACAAATTAACAACCTTTATAGTAAAGTATGCACATGCAGTGGCTCCTCAATTGAAATATATGCAAATACCTTTACGAATGTGATGCCCACCACCAGGCCTCTTTTGGGTGGAGACTTAGTGAAGGCATCGATTGACACGATCTCTGCATCGACTACAGAGAAAGGACAGGATCAGATCCTTGCAGCATCAACAGCTGTTGGACAACACAGCTGCAGCACAGCTTTCAGGACTATAGGACTAAAGCAGCATTAAATAAGATTTATCAAGTTTAGTGAAAGTAGGATACCTTAAATAAGTAAAGTATGCATACTTAAGTGAGTGTACACTGCATTTGTGCATATGTGTACCTGTGCATTGCCATATATTGATATGTGATCTGACTGCATGTATTTGAAACAACACATAAACTATGTTCAATTGTGTCTAAGATTTTTTTTTTTTTTTAAACATCATTGTGTCATTCCAAGAGGGCAAATTAGTCTGTAGGCTATTACTTCACAAGTCTATTTAGTCAAGTAGTGTCAAGTATTGTACTCAAGTACTTTTTTGACATATTTTGTACTTTATACTTCTACCCCACTACATTTCAGAAGCAAATATTGTACTTTTACTCCACTACATGTATTTTAACTCTTTCAGTTACTACTCACTTTGTGCATATAAAAACACATGATAATGCTGATATAGTATAAAGCAGTAGGCCTACTGTACTACTAAACGACACAGTATTTTTAATATCTAAATGTGTCCAACATTGACACATTACAATACTAAAATGCTCTCATATGTATAAAAAACAAGATCAAATATTAACCAAATTAATATTAAACTGTGAAAAGATCCATTCTGATTTAACCTTACTTTTGATACTTACTAAATACATTAAGTATTTATAATTCTTCTGTACTTTATATTATTCTCAAATGGGTCATTGTGCAGAATAAGTACTTTTACTTTAAGTACGATTTTGAAATCAGGACTTTTACTTGCAGTGGAGTATTTTGGGAACATAGTATTTGTAAAGTATCTGAGTACTTCTTCCAACACTGTTTTACAGCTGAGTCTGCCTCACTGCATTGTATTGCATTGTATTGCTCATACACCATCTCCTCCATAGCTCTACAGCACGGCACCGTCCTCCGGGCAGTACCTGGGATGTAGGTGAACTGGACCTCCTTGGCCACAGGTCGGATTTTGTGCTGCGGCTCCTGGTACCTGAAGCACACTACCTTCCCTTTGAGAGTGGCCGCTAACAGCTCCTGCTGCCCGGCCTGACACAGCCCGTAGATGTTGCTCTGCGACGGGAAGCGGCTGAAGCTGTCCTCCACGAAGGGGTAGGCCTCCCGGAGCATCCCGCCACCCGAAACTCAACTCACTTATTCGGTCAGAAATGTCAAAAATGAAGACTGTCAGTGGTTGTTTTGTAACTGCTCTGTTCTCCAACTCCATTCAAGTTCAACTTAAATGAGCTCAAATGAGAAAACGAGTGTCAAAAAATATGTTACACTCGCGACATTATGTTGACTTACATATAGTGTTCGTGCTAAGTCAGTGCTAATGCATTTTCATTTACTTTGAAGACACACATTCACAGCTTCTGTTTTGGTATTTCTCAGGCTGACTCTAAATAGCTTAGCCTGCTAGCATAGCGTCATGAAGCAAAACATCCGGGTCAGGAGGAGGTGCGTTCACGTCTATTGGATATATGGCATTTAATTATCATAAAAACGATCCAGCGAAGAGAAACCAAATGCTTTGATTAAAAAGTTGAAAGTAGGGTAATGCTTTACCAGGTCGGTTTAGTTTACTGTACTTTTTGCCATCATATTTTGTTGTTTATTGTCAGATGTCACAACTCACACTGTTCAGTCAAATTGACTTCATATAATTTAGAAGTCATTGAACTGGCTTACAGAGCTGAGTTGAAATAATAACAACTTATGAAATTAAGTAGAAATTGCATACATTTATATATGAAGTGAAAGTAACTTAAAGACAAAGTTACAATAACTTAATGATCAAATCCTTTTTTTACAGTAGGTGGCGGTATGCACCTTAAAGTTGTTTGCAATCCGCCAAAAACCGAGAGAAGAAGAAGAAGAAGCCGACTACGAGCTGTCCAGTCGACTTCAGGCGAGCTTTTTGAGACCTCCCCCAAGGTGATTGCATGTGTAGATGATTCAAATAATAATTTATTCGTCCCACAACGGAGACATTTACAGTGGCTATAGACATGTTTTTCCCATCGATTATTTTATCATACTGTTCTGTACAGATGAGACTTTGTCATAGATTTATTTATATGTGTGCCTGTGATTATTGTATCATACTGTTAGTGTTCTGTACAGATGAGACTGTCATAGATTTATTTATATGTGTGCCTGTGATTATTTTACCGTCCTGTACAGATGAGACTATGTTATCAGATGTATGTATATGTGTGTCTGTGATTTTATACTGAATATAAAGTAACTGGAAATACCTGTGTGTGTGTGTGTGTGTGTGTGTGTGTGTGTGTGTGTGTGTGTGTGTGTGTGTGTGTGTGTGTGTGTGTGTGTGTGTGTGTGTGTGTGTGTGTGTGTGTGTGTGTGTGTGTGTGTGTGTGTGTGTGTGTGTGTGTGTGTGTGTGTGTGTGTGTGAAAATCGGACTTCAAATGTTAAGCTTTAGAGCTACTTATCTCATCACACAGTGCTCTAAGGTGAGCAATTTGCATTTATAGCAAGACCAGAGATTGTCCTGAACATTTTGATATGTAACACATGGGGTGCCATGTATAACAAGTACATTTAAAAGGTGATTTAAGGAAACGTCTAAAAAGACTCTGCAGAGGGTTAACAGATACAAGAGAAAGTCTTTATGATTCAAACATTAAGGTATACAAATAATTCTACTAGGTGTTTAAATGATTGTAGATATTTCAATAAATTAAAATATACCATTGTCTGTCATATAAATCATAATCTCACTAAACCATTGCCACAAATATGTCCATTAGGGCAGTTCATAAGATAAGATAAGATGGACCTCTAATAATCCCCGTAGGGAAATCCACGTGTCAAGGCAGCAACAGAATAAGAAGAAGCACATATATTACACAGGAATTAAAAGTAAAAAAGAATAAAAGACAAATAAAATAAGAATAAACATGTATTAACAGTATTAATTGAAAAAACTAGTTAAACTAGTTAAACTATGATCCGGTGAATGTACACAGATATGTGAGCAGAACAGATATGTTAAATATATTTAAGGTGCCGGTATCAGAGCGGGTATAAGTTGTATGTGGGTGTGTATACAGTGCAGGTTATAGATGGGTTTCAGGGTTGTGTTGTGCAGCCTGATGGCTACAGGCACAAAGGACTGTCCGAGGCGCTTGGTGCTGTGTCGTGGAGGGATGAGTCTGAGGCTGAGCGTGCTCCTCATCTTCACTAGCTCTGCATGGAGGGGGGGTGGAGTGGGGGTGGAGGGGTCCTCCATGATACAGTCCAGCTCTCTTAAAGAGAGTGTTGATGTTTGTCCAGCAGATGTCAGTGAACACTTACAGCAACTTGTTGAAAGCTTTACATTTCCCTCTTTCTGCTTACCAACAGCTTGACAAAAGGTCCTACCTCCTTTTATAGAGAAGAAGACACTAAAATCAAGGCATATCGCATACTTTAGTTTTCTTTCCAATATCCCGACTTTCTTATCAGTCAGAAACAGGTTTATTGCACAAGGAATTTGCTTTGGAGTATAATGGTGATAACACGAACACAGTAGGAAGAATCAAGAAATGCTCCCATGCCTATGTCCAAACCTGTGGTGAGTTTCATTTTGGCTCAGCCTAAACTTCACCTAATGCCCCCCCCCCCCCCCCCAGCAGCAGTGCCTCTCCTCCTTTTGCTGCAGTACATCTGAAACAGCCTCCTGTTTCCTCACATCCTCACCAAAGGTAGTGGGAACTATTCGATATGAGTTGACTGGAATAACTATATAGTGTTGTACATGTCATGTGATAACAGAGAGAAACACTTGTGTGAATCTGAGGTGTAGAAGTAGAACACATGAACCGAACAGTGTTCCCATCTCAGCATGAAGCCCCCCTCTCTGAAAGGGGACAGTGTCTCTTCTTAATCTCATCAAAAGGATTGGTTTCTGCTTCTAAATGCCACCAATGCAAAGCAAACACTTCATAAAGTCTGGTTATAATAGTACTAGTATTGTTCTTTTTATACTTCACTGCAGCAACAGCTGGCATGCAGAGTAACGGATTACATGTAACGGGATTATGTCATTGCGTTACAAAAAACAGATAATATTCCCTTACAGTTACACAAAATAGATCAGATTACCGGTACATTTAAAAAAAACTAAAACAACATGGGGATTACAAACAGGATTAGAATGTAACAGTACATTTAAAAAATAGAGAAAGATACATTGAGAAGCATGCTGTGGATGCTCTTAATCGATATACTGTGGTGAGAGCAGATTCTGTCTCCTGTAAAAGGAACACTTTTATTTCTTCTCTGTAAACTGTACTGTTCTGTAGGATAATACTTTAAGTGTGAATCTATACGCCTACTGGCTAAATCTGCGTTATACTTTTCACTTTCTTTGGGTCATTTGTTCTGTTTTTAATTCAGCAGGTGAACCTATATGTTCATAAGATAGTGTGTGTGAGCTTAACTGTATGTATGAAACTAAAACGGAGCATTTTCTGTCAGCTCAGACTTTATTTCTGCTTTTTTAAACTGTAGTATGTGCTCATGTGTTTCAGTGTTGGTGTAGAGGCTGCTGCCTGAATATGTTTAATGAAAGGCAGTTTACTTACTTACATCTTATTGATATTTATTTTTCTCCTGTATTTATTTGCATTGCATTTGATAATTAGGAAATTCAACAGAAACCGAAAGTAATCAGGTTACATTACTTTTATATTTGATACTAGATTACATTTCCTTCACAATTTAGGTAAAGTACTTTTTCTGCAGTCTTTACTGCCGGACAACATTATCTGACCTCTGAAGTCATTAATACTCATCAAATGTACATATAAGAATCCTAAAACGTATACAAGAAAGAAGACAAAGAGCATAATAAAAAGGAAACCAAATGAGATGCTTATGCCATTTTGTAAACAGCTCCTGTGAGGAGGTCAATAATAACATTGGCATATAGTACAGGACATTAACCAAATTATTAAACATAAAGCCATAGTTCACATTGATGGAATGTAGATACCTGACATCCATAAACGTATTGCACCTACATGTTTTATGAAGTCAATTCAATAAGATTGTGTATCAATAATCACAATTGTATCTCCCTTCAACAACTACATGGTGTCACATCATCCCTGTGGGCTGTCTAAGTGTGTGTCACACGTCTTATAAAGTCCGGAGTGTGTTCTGGGGGGGGTAGCAGACGGGGGTTAGGCCCTGCGAGCGGCTGCTCCATATTGTGAGAGTTCAGAGGTGGAAGTGTGTTACACCACCCCCCCACTGCAGACCCCCCCACCCCCTCTCCTAATACCACCTGCTAATCCATGTGCAGGATTACTGTCCACTGTAATCACTCATCCTGTACTGACACACACCTCACCTCACTGTACAGCTCCTGACTCTCTCTCTCACACACACACACACACACACACACACACACACACACTGTACCATTAACCCAATTCATGATGTAAAAAATATGAAGTCAATTAACTGTCTTAACTGTCTTAACTGTAGTGAAGCTTATTCAATAAAATAATGATGGGGCTTTTGGGAATAATCAGAGCATTGAAACATTGAGAAAAACGGATTTACCGTAGCCCTAAGGAGGCAACATTCTCGATCCATCTTCTCCCGCTTATCCGTGGTCGGGTCGCGGGGGTAGCAGTTCCAGCAGAGAGCCCCAAACTTTCCTTTCCCTGGCCACATCAACCAGCTCTGACTGGGGGATCCCAAGGCGCTCCCAGGCCAGCGAAGAGATATAATCCCTCCACCTGGTCCTAGGTCTACCCCTCGGTCTGTTCCCAGCTGGATGTGGCTGGAACACCTCCCTAGGGAGGCGCCCAGGTGGCATCCTTACTAGGTGCCCGAACCACCTCAACTGGCTCCTTTCGACGCGAAGGAGGAGCGGTTCAACTCCGAGTCCCTCCCGGATGACTGAACTTCTCACCTTATCCCTAAGGGAGACGCCAGCCACCCTGCGGAGAAAACCCATCTCGGCCGCTTGTATCCGCGATCTCGTTCTTTCGGTCATGACCCATCCTTCATGACCATAGGTGAGGGTAGGAAGGAAAATGGCCCGGTAGACAGAGAGCTTTGCCTTCTGGCTCAGCTCTCTTTTTGTCACAACGGTGCGAAAAAACGACTGCAGTACCGCTCCCTCTGCTCCGATTCTCCGGCCCATCTCACGCTCCATCTGAACAATGTCAAAAGACCTCATGAAAGACGACACACAAAGTGAGGATACCCGGCCCGGAGGAAGCCCGGGGTCCCCTTCTGGAGCCAGGCCCAGAAGGAGGACTCGTCGGCGAGCGTCTGGTGGCCGGGCTTGCTTCTTTGTTGGAGTTTACCCCAGTGGACGAGAGGGTCGCCTCCCTACGCCTGCGGGTTATGGGGGGGAAAACTCTGACTGTTGTGTGTGCTTATGCACCAAACAGCAGTTCAGAGTATACAGCCTTCT